TTTTAATTTAAAAGTGTTGTTTTTGATTGAATTATATCATATTATGAAAACTATACATATTATGATTTTTTAAACATTGATTTCAAAAATTGTTTTCAAAACTTTGCCCATTAGGATTCGATTTAGAGAACCTTGAATATTGCAAACTCTTATTGAGTTCTGGGATTGATTGTATTGCATACATTTGTTTCAAATTTGCAGGTTACCTTATCTTTCCGATTTCTTGAACTGTGTCTAATCCTAAACACCCTAGGTCGTCATCAAGTCGTTCAACACAAAACCGACCTCATATTCCTCCACCTAATCCAAATCCAAACCCGAATAACCCAAATATGACTATTCTAAATTCATGTTTTAATGTTCCTCGTCGTAGACAAGATCTCTACCATAGGTACCATACTTGTTTTGAGTCATACAAAACCTGGGAAAAACGTATCCCTTCGATTCAAGCTATGGAAGATATGAATTTTCAATATCTTCCTACTCTTAAATCCTGGAAATTTGATAAACTTTTTCAAATCAAACCTATTGTTTATCATTAATTAGTTCGCATCTCCTATTCAAATGCGACATGTGTCCAAAATGAGCGTCGAACCAAAACCATAGGAATTCGATCCTATCTTTTAGGTCAATTCATTTTTATTGACTCTGACATAATTACTACCCATTTTGGACTAGATAACATAGGTTTATATAATGAAAAGGAGATTGTGGAAACACTCTATAAGTCTAAGGATAGTGTTAGTACCTTACGAAACTCATCACGAACGATTCCTTCATTTGATCATCTCTTGGTGGTTTAGATAATCCGGAGGTAGGTATTCCTCACTTAGAGTTATAGATTTATGTTGGATACATTGTATCCAACATAAAAAGAAAATTAATCTGCCACATATCATTTTTAGTGAGTTGGTTGATACCGTAAACACTGTGCCATCCAAGAACGTAGAAACTTTAGTTTACGGCTGTCTCCTCAGTGATTTGTTTATCAAAATAGGTCTTAGGGTCACTCTTGATATCCACATCCCTATTCAAAACCAAATAAATCTCACTTCCTTAAGAAATCGGGATGGAAAAAGAATAAGGAAAAAGATCAATGGGTTCAAACAACTGAGGACACTCCGAGAGCTAGTTCTTTATGAGCTCCACCTCCATCGGCACCGGTAGGTGACGATGATCCAGAGCTTCAACAACTTATGCAAGATATTGATGATGAAGCACCCGAGGATGAGCCGGCGTAGCAAGAGGATCAAATGCCTCTATAGTTTTGATCATTTTTGGAGACATTTGATCTTAGGTTTGCATTTATAGAGCCGTATTTAACTGATATGGGGGCTCAACAACAGGAGATGAACAATCGTTTAGATACGCTCACACTTGAGATGTGAGCACATTATCCTCTACCTCTCGATCCTCATGTGAATGACTAGACCTATCTTGCTTTAGTTTTCTTGCATTTAGAACCTATTGTTAAAATATTTTGACTGTTTTTGGATTAATATGTTTGGATGCTTAAATGCTTGAATTTGTTATGGATGTTGGATGTTTTAAACTTGAATTCTTTGGATGATTGAACTTAATATATATATTTGTTTGAAATTTTAATTTGATCTTCATTAAGTGTTGCATCATTTAGAATATGACCAATTTACAATTGCACATTTGTTTATGAATATTGATTTATGAAACTAATGGCTAACCTTTCTCTTGATTGTGATCTTAGCAGCTTAAACTATATTTTAATTTTTAAATCAATTGGCTAAATTTTTCAGTCTTTTTTACAGAACGTTTATAGAGTCTTTTTGATTTAACAAAAAGGGGGAGAATAAAGTAAGGGGGAGTAATTTTACAAAATGATTTCAAAAATTATTTTCAAAGAAAATATTAAAATTACTGAAGTGTTTTGTTATATCAAAAAGGGAGAGATTGTTGAAAACATTTTGATGTTTCGATATAACAAATTAAGTATGAATGAATTTTAAGATTTTACAATTTTTTAAGTATATTCGATTCAATTATTCGAATATCAAAATATTACTCCAAGTTTTTCAAAGATCAATTTCAATCCTTACTCAAGTGTAAAATTGTGTTTTAAACTTAAAGATATTTTTGAAACAATTTTACAAAGTATTTCGAACCAAAAATCGAACCAAAAATTAAATTTTCAAAGGGATGAACCGATGCACTATTTTATGCATCGATGAACACCCCATTTCAAATGCATTTTGTGTACTGATACACAAGCCATGCATCGATGCACTCTTGAATATTTTGAAACATCGAATGTAATTAGTGTACCGATGCACCCCTAGTGTACTGATGCACTAAGTCTTATAACGGACGAAATATTTGAATTTTTCACATAGTATACCGATGCACCTTGACTATGCATCGATGCACCCCACGCTCCCACCAGATTTTTAAATGATAATTACACAATAACGTCTCTATTGACTTCACCAATGATCCTCAATGTTCAGAAGTGATTCAAGGTGTATTTAAACAAGCTTAGGAGCCATTGATCAACATCAATCAAGAAGAATTGAGAGAGAATCAAAGAGAAAGCATCAAACCTCTAGTTTGAGCATTTTTAAGAGTATTTCATTCAATATTCATTTTTGCTTTCAAGAACACTTATTGTGCTCAATTGTATTATTCTTGAGTGTTCTTTCTTTGTTCTAGAATTGTGCAAACATCTTACCTTGTGAGGTTTTTCTGTAAGTTTGCGAAATTTGTATTGTTCTCTTTGGGAGAGAGTGTTCTCAAGAATTTGGGGTATAATTCTTGAGGGAATTGTAAGGTTACTTTTTGTCCTCAAAAGAAAGACAAATTAGTGAAGTTGTGGAAAATCCTTAGTGTGGATAGCTAAGGTAGTGGATGTAGACTTTGGTTGAGAAAGTCGAACCACTCTAAATCGCTGTGCAATTATTTTCTATTTTTTTTTTGCAAAGGCTTCCACCAAAATTTTTATTGCCAATTCACCCCCTCTTGGCTATTTCGTCGATTGATTAACTCAACAAAAACATATCAAACACTTCAAGACGAATGGTTCAAAGAGATATAATCAATTCACCTGAAGATCATGGAAAACCAAAAGGAAAATAAAAGAAAATAAAAGACACACAAGCAGATTCAAATCGAGCAATATAAGATTGAAGATAGCAGAACGAATTGTTCCTTGGTTCAATAACCCTTAAACACTTATTTGGACCTATTTATCCTTTTCTTTCATAACTGTGAGCCCTAGCATATGTTACGTGCCAAAAAAGTCATTTCTAATCATACATGGATTTCTAAGTGGAGAGACTCTCTTTAGATTTCATTCCACTCCTCAAGGTTAATTTTATTTGCAAAAAAACGGTTTTCTAAAATCTTTAGTTTATGATAGAGAAAAATAACAAAATAAGGGTTCAGGACGTAAAATTTTAGATGACGTCTTGAAACCAAATGATAATTCAAGTTGAAAACATGAAAAGACATCTCAAATACAAAGATTGCCAACCACTGCTCAGAAGACGACCTTAACATCTTGATAAAGAACTACACAACCCAAAGGTACTCACGAGGGCTGGGAACCGGCGAACATTTATGGAAGATAAGCATAATGACTACTTCATCATATCAATAAACTCCAGAATCAAGGATGTAAGATTTCAACCAAAGAATCCAAACTGGAACACATTTCCTCAAATTAATCTGAAATGCTATACTTTCTTAATGCAGCCTAAGCATTATATCAACATTAATCCTTACACTTGTCAAATGTCATCACAAGCAAAAATGTTTTGAAAATAATTAGTGACGAGATTCTGGAGTTGGGGTTCATCATCACAACAAGAGTCCGAGTCGGATTTCAGCATCTTTATCCGTTTCGTACGATGTTTAGCAACCGCTTTAGATTGAAAAAAATTGGTGTTGTGGTCACCAAGCCGGATCCAATCAGAGGTGGATTTCTATTTCCAAAGTAAATCTTCATGGTATAAGAGAGTTTCAAGCTCCGATTGCAATTTGGCTTCAAGTTTCACGAGATTCCAAGAGCGATATTGATCCAACCTTCTTTGAAATCCCCGAATACAAGTCATGAGAAGTTTCTTACGTTTATTGATGTTGCCATAAATATGTTAATTTCAGTGCTCAGCTTTTAAAGGGAAGTTGGAGATGATGTCCGTAAGGTGGTTGGTAGAGGCATTCATCATCAAACCCCAGATTATCAAGCTTCTAGATAATGCCAAGTCAGTGAGTCACCCCGGAAACAGATAAAGTGTCTCAAGAGTTTTCAATCAATCGCTTCTCAGAATGTTACGAACAAAAATGCATTGAATATTCAGGCTACGAGTGTAATGCAAGTTGGAAGCTACGAGTCTCGTGTTTATGCACTACTGTTATTGAAATCAATGCTGGAGATGACTGATCCAATGCAGATCATCAGCTTTCTTGATACCTGAATTATTCAATGAAATGAATTAGTTCGAGTTTTTAATGATCAAATCTCTCAACAGGCCACAAAAGCTACTCTACAACTGTTGGTCCATATACATCCATGGGGAAGAAACAAAATCAAGATAGCTGAAGCAGGTGCAGTACCGATCTTGATTGACTTGCTACTTGATTCTTCGTAGAAAAGGGCTTATGGATGATACTAACAGTGCTGGATGCAGTATGTGGATGTGCCCAAGGCAGATCCGATCTGCTAAGCCATGGAGCAGGGCTTGCAATTAGGTGTTGTGTCTAAACTGTGCTTAGTGCTTCAACTGGATTGTGGAGAAAAGACTAAAAAGAGGGGCAACATAAGAAACAGTGATACCAAAATTCAGCATACCGTGTCTCGACATAAACTCCTATCGAGCATATACAGATATTTCACACTCATCCGAGTATAATAGCATAACTTATACATTTCTCATATACTGATTATTTCATCACAAATATTTTGGTTCTATAAATAAATATAAGAACGAAACAGTGATATAGCAGAGCGCAATGCACGTGCATTTCCCTGATCAAGTCCTGGAGACGGCATCATCACTATACAAATCAAATGGATTCCAATTACCAAACAGTTTATTCGGATCTTGAGTTTCGGGTTCGAGGTCTGGTTCTTGTGTTGCTTGCAAGGATGGACTCATGGAGGACTGAAAACTTGACCACAGTAAATCATCACCAGGCAATGGGGGCAATGAGTAGTTAACAAGATAGTGTATCTGTTCATTGTTGTTCAAATGGTTATCAATGGATAAATCTGAACGAGTGAGGCATCCCATGAGACCATTTTCTTCTGGTTGCTGAACACTCGATTCCAAGTCGGAGTTCGATAATCTTGAAACCTGTAGAGACAGATTGAACTCCCTCCACAATTCTGCGACTTCGAACCTCGACTTGTTTTCCGGTTGTTGATTATTCAAAAAGTTAGCATAAACGAGTGCGAGATCGATACGAGAGCCATCAGACATGCCCGAGGAGCAGTTGGACTCAGCAGAGGCATAGGAATGCCTAACCGAATCACACGATAAACTCTTCAAGTTAACGCCATCGGTCGGTAGCCTTAAAGACTTACCCCTTCTGTTTTTCCGGCGACCACCACCAACCGGCACGTTTCGAAGTGAGCCACCTTTGGTCCAATATCTTCTACAACCTTTGCAAAAGTACCTCGGTTGTGTCAAGCTATAATTGTTGTAATAGCAAAACTTGGTATTGGAAGAACCACATCGTGGACAATTTGGCGATATCTCCATAACCAATACCCTTCAACTTCAAAGCCTTCATCAATGGGAGCTAGAGAGGGTTTTTCAACTGGACAAAAACAAAAGTGAACAGAGTTATAAGATAGAGATTGGGGGCGTTAAGGGTGACAAACTGGTCGGTGTAATGGAGGAGGTTTAGGAAGCAAATGCCTCGAGAGGCACAATCTGGTTTTCTTACAGTAGCTGACAACCTAGATATGAAAACGAAGATATATGCATATGTTTACACGTACATCGATTTATAAATCCAAGGGGCTTGAATATGTTGATTAAAGAAGAGATGCACATGGTTGGTTTGTTTCTTAAAGGAGGAATGTCTCTTTAGTCGGTTAATAGTTGGTAACTTTGAGAGAGGATTTCTAGGATCATGCGCTTCTTGGATCATGTATTTTTTTTTCTCTTCTTGAAAATGAATGTCATCAAAATGTTGAAGAAAATGAAGACACCGAACTTCTTAATCCTATGCATATATATATATATATATATATATATTGAAAACATTAATCGGGCCTTTATTGAAAAAAGTAAATAAAATACAGCTAAGCAAAACACATAAAATAAAACAAACACCACTACCAAAAAAGAAAAGTCAACTAATCATCTTCTCCATAGCCCAACTAAAACCCATGAAAGCTTCAAGTGGCGAAGACCAACAGAGCAAAATAGAACATGTTCACATTCCAAACAGACGGGGAGAGAGCACCCTACGATGGCTCCAACTTGCGCCTATCCTCAGTAGCTTGTTCTTCCACTGCTCGAGGAGCCTCCTCGATATAGAATCGATCGTCTTCATCGTGATTATGCATCATCGCCAACAAGTGTGTTGCTTTGTTACTCTACCGGTGGATATGCCAATAGGTACATGCATGTAACCCCCTCGTTTTTCCTTTTGCTTCCCATATTAGCGCATTGATCTCAGAGTAATCAGTATTCTTTGAGGACTACTTTGAGATCACAACTTTTGAATCCCCCTCGATCACCACATCCCTGAAGCCCAAATCAACAACAAGATCTACGGCGTGAATGGTCGTCATTGCTTCAGTCGCAAACGCTGATGTAATCCGACTCATCTTCCTACTGCTCACCCCCATAATGTTACCCGCAACATCACATATTAAAATGTCTGACCATGTTGTATTCCTTGCTTCTTTGAAACATGCATCGAATTTTATTTTGACAGACGGAGGAGTCGGTGGACTCCACTTAGCAATAAAGCCTAACTGGGATGGTTGGATCCTCGAATTTGCCATGGCAAAGTCTTGACATTGTGCACGAATTGAGGTAATAATATCAGATACCCCCATCTTTTTACCTTCATGGTACTGTAAATTACGTCCATGTCACAGTGCCCAAATGCAAACAAAAATAATCGGTCATACTAACTGGAAGATGAGTTAAAAGCCACACAAACCACTATTGAAAATCAGTCGAGTTTTGTTGAGAAGGTCAATGAATTACTAACTCCTCCCACACTACACGAGCTAATAAACAATCTCTGTTGATATGTACATTCGATTCAATATCATTCAAACAATTCAGGCAATAAGGATCCGCAACTAATTTTTTAATAAAAAGATTTTGTTATGAAGGTATGAAATTATTAAAAAATTTCCACACCTAAATCCTGATTTTCCATTGACATGCGCACTCGCAAAAACGCTTAAAGCACTCCGCAGATAATTATGAAAGTTCATTCTCCCCCAAAAGCAACTGGTAACCACTATGCACACTATACAGACTAGACTTTTCCCCACACTATACACGACACTTATCCTGCCAAAAATGCGAGATAGGCATAGCCAGAATTCTGTCCCTATCCGCCTCCAAAAAATGGTCGAAATAAGCTCCACGTTCCATTGTCTTGACTCCTCCAACATAAGATCTGAAACACGTGAAACCAACAGGATGAGATAGAACTTTTGTGGAGAGTGCCCCATGAGCTAGAAATCGTTCCAGATAGAGATCGCTTCTCCTGACCCCACTTTCCATCGTAAACCTTTCTCAAGCAAGCCTTTCGAGCTCTAGATACTCCGCCAAATGTAAGATGGGTGAGACCCAAGTCTTGAACAAAGGAATTCCCCACACGGGTAATATTTCGCTTTGATGAGGCGACTAACAAGGGAATTAGGATTTGTTAACAACTGCCAAACTTGCTTTGCCAAAAGAGCGATATTAAAATTTTTCTAAGTCCCTAAAACCTAAATCTCCGTCCTCTTTCAACGAGCAAAGAGATTGCCACATGCACCAATGAATACCATGTTTTTTCTCTAACTTCTGCCACCAAAATCAAGTCATAATAGCCTTTAGCTCTTTGCACAAGCTATTCGGGAGCAAAAAATAGGACATAGCATAAAATTGGACAGCTTGAAGAACGGACTTGATAAAAATCTATTTTCCCCCGTGAAAGTAAGTGAATGCTAATTATGGATCCGGGAATGAAATATGTCCTTTAGATTAAAAAACGTCCCTATTTTATTCCTTCCTACAATTACCGGGAGACCCAAGTATTTTTCAGGATTGGGAGTACTCCCCACCTCAAAAATTCGGTGAACATCACTTCGGTTCACATCAACCACATTTGAACTGAAAAAGTGGGTCGACTTCTCAAAATTAATAAGTTAACCCGAACTCTCTCCATAGACACGCAACAAGTCCTTTAACCTAGCTACACAGCCGTCTGTTGCCTCACCAAAAATCAAACTATCGCCAGCGAAAAATAAATGAGAAAGCACGTGTGCATACCTATTAACTTTGATACCCTTCAAACCTCCCAAAGACTCCGCTTGCCGAATCAATGAGAAAAGACCCTCACTGCAAATCAATAACATGTAGGGACTCAAAGGACCCCCTCGAGGATGACCCCTCTAAGTTTGAAATAATGACCCACAAGTCTATTAACGATAACTGAGTAAGAGACAGAACTAACGCAACGCTTGATAATATCAATCCATCGAGACGAAAAAAACCCAACCTACCCATGATGTCCCAGAGGAAGTGTCATTCGACCTTGTTATAGGCCTTACTCATATCAAGCTTTAAAGAAAAATAACCTGTGTGACCCTCTCTCTTCCGAAAAAAATAATGCAACACTTCATAGGCAGCTATGACATTATCTGAAATCAACATGCCTGGAACAAAAGCGCTCTGCGCTTCATCAATGCAAACGTCAAGTAACCTTTGAAATCTAAAAACTAACATTTTTTAAACAATTTTGAAGAGTACGTTGCAATGGCTAATTGGCCTGAAATTACTCATTTACCTCGGATACTCAATTTTTGGAATAAGGATAATATGGGTGTAGTTTACTTCCTCAATATCAAACTGCCCTTCAAGAATATCGATACAATAATCGACCACTTACTCTCCAATTAGGTACCAGAAATGTTGGTAAAACAACGCTCCAAGTCCATTTTCTCCCGAAGCCTTCAACGAGCTCATGGCTTTAACTGTTGCCGTAACTTCCTCTCTTGTAAATGGACTTAACAACCACTCATTCATCTCATGAGTTATACGGGCCTCTATCCTATATAAAATTCTATAACATGTCGATGTCGAAGAAGAAGAAAACAAATCAGTAAAATACTGTCGAGCAACATATTTCATGCCCTAGTCTTCTTCATTACGAGAGCCATCATCGGAGTCCAGAAATTTAATTCAGTTTCGCCTTTCCTTTTGGAATGCAAATCGATGAAAAACACAGTATTATTGTCTCCATTTTTTAGCCAATTAGCTCTAGCGTGCTGCTCCCAATACATCTCTGCCCTATCCGCCTCTAGGTTTAACTGAAGTTTGGCGTCTAAAATCTCCCCAAGAATTTCGTCTGTAGGCTCTAACTCCACCAGATCGGCCAATCTATTTTTCAAATTCATTGTCGTTAACCTCTTTCACTTAAAAATGTCCTTAAACCATGAGTCGAGGCCCTGACTGACATGACTTAATCTCGAGGGCACTGAACCAATTGATTCCTCCCTAAATTTCTAAACCTCATAAACACACAGATCCTCCAACAACCATGAAGCTTCGAATTTGAAGTGCCACCGCCGATTGATGTTAATTGAATTATTCATCTCCACCAGAAGCGGACAATGATCTGAAAAAGAGTGATGAAGATGAGATAATCTATATTGGGGAAACGACTGGATCCAATAAACCAACCCCTATCCAATCTCTCTCGGATATTAGTTTCATCTCTTCGACCTCTTTCCCACGTAAACCAGGAACCTTTAAAACCCGTATCAGATAAGTCGCAATCCTATATAGCACAGCAAAAAGCTTTCATTTGCCCCGCATTACACATCGCGCCCCCTTCCTTCTCAAAAGAGTAAAAGTTCTCATTAAAATCCCCAATTACAAGCCACGAGATATCTGGGGTATCGTTAATTTGACGCATAAGCTCCCAAGAATCCTGCCTCCTAGCCTCCTCCGGGGCACCATAAAACCCGGTGCAACTCCAAGCAAAACCATCCTCATTATCACGAATAAAAACATCAATATGAGAACAAGAAAAGGAACGTAAAGTAATCAACCAAGAATTCTTCCACATCATGCACAAACCTCCTCGAGTCCCATAAGCATCAACCTCTAGACCATTCGAAAATCCGCAAAACCTTCGAACCTTCTCAATTCTTATTTTTGTAGCTTTGTTTCCATAAAAAAACTACAGTGGGGTTATTGTCTCTCGTATGTACCGGAGACGACGAACTGTCCGGGGCAGCCCCAATCCCCGAACATTCCAACTTATGAGCTTCATTGCGTCTGGCTAGCCTGATCAATCAGGCCTGCTGATATCTTATTATTTGGACTCACCAAACTATTCTCTTTTTTCATATTCAAACTCGCTTGAAGACTCCTCAGCCTCTTCACATTCTCGGGTTTATTTATGTGATTTTCTTCCTCCACAACAACCATTTCAACATCAGCAACAATAACCCCATTTAGACGTTCATGAACACCCGATTTCGCCTTCAGATTGTGTGATGGACCAGCCAAGG